ATAAACAGAGTAATCAAGTCACTGCATGCCTTTCTGATCAAATGTGAATGCTGAATTGAACAAGATGATATCTGGGCAACATTTTGACCAAAGGCTGATGATTCCTGTGTCTGGGATGGGGGTAATGGTAACTGTAAGTACAGAGATTATGGGACTGAAGGTATTGCCCATCTTGCAAATCCATTCTTCTCTCTGTGATTTAGAGAGCCAGAGCTTATGGTTTAGTAAGAACATCCCATCTGCAAGAGCTGACGGGGGATGCACCACAGAAACAAGCTACTGTCATAAAATGCTTTTTTGAAGTAAAAATGCTTTGTGAATACATTTTATCTGGGGAAAAAAAAAAAATCCACCAAGTTTTGAGACCAGCTTCCTAGCATGGCTGCTGAGGAACCAGTGGCTCAAACATATGCATTAGGTAGACTGCTGAGAACTGCTGACTCTAGAACTTCCTGACTGCTCCTAGCTGCCTGGTGGTTTGTGCAAGTAAGAGAACTTCCCATTTCCCATTGGGATTAAGGAATTGGGTCAAGATTCGTGGATAAACTCTACTGGAAAATAACGGTCAGTACAAACCCCACCTTGTGCTCCAAGGGCAAGACACATTTTTAACCTTGTTTCTTCACAATACATACGTAGCAACCTAGCTGTCCATGCAATCCATTTTTTTTTTTAAATCCTGCCAAACCAAACCAAGCCAATTCACTTCACACATTTTCTTGCCTTGTGGAGAAATAAACTCTGTGTAACAGTAGTCACAGAGCTTAATGTGCTCCAAATATTTTAAATTCAAAAGAAGAGAAAATGTGATTAACTGAAGAAAAAAATGTAACAAAGCAAGATTAAGAAGCTATTCAGAGTTATTGAAGCCTTCAACCACATGATGAAAATATCTTTTTTTTTTTTTTTTTTTTAGGTAAAAGTCATGCTTGGCTTCATCAGCTTATCAAGAAAGCATTGTAGGGAGCCAGCTACAGAATTCTTCACTGTTCTCTTTCACTTTTCTAAAGCCATATTTAAAAACACAATTCCCATTCCTTCTATGCCCACTTTAATTTATAGGTCAATATATTAAGTTTTTAAACTCAAGGGTTGTACTGTAAGAGATCTTAAGGAGTTACTACACCCAGGAAATGCCAGGCAGCTAGTGTGAAGCAAAAGTAATTCCTTATGAAGTTCACTGTGACTGATGTAATAATAGTTCCCAAATCTATGTCGTTAGTATTTGACTATGCCAGAAATAGTGTAATGGAGAAGAAGACCTGTCAGCTTGTCCAGAAAAAACAGGGAGCACAGTTTGGTTTGTGATAGCTGGAGACTTTTGAAAAGAAAGTAACCAAGGGTTAGGTGACAGGCTGGGCATTGGCTGCACAGTCTCATGTGTTCAGCCATTACTGCACCTGCAGTACAAGACTCAGGAAGAGACTTCTGCGTGGAGCAGCTCCTGCTGCTGTGAACTGGGGCTACACGTGCAAGCCTTCTCTGCTGTCTGGATTAATTTCAGACTGGAGGGAGAACTACATGCTAAGAATTATTTCCAGCTCATAAATACATTTTATGAGGATTTTCACATTGAAGATGTATGGCAAATGGAGATTTATTAAACTGCAGTCATACAAAGCTCCAAAGTGTAAGTCTTAGCTGTCCTGTCATTTCTAGGTAGCTGAGAAATTCAGTACGTCAGCGGCTCTACCACAAGTGAAATCTCATTCATTCAATGCTAACACAAAATACACTCATATGGGAGGCTACTTTTAATATAAAATTTTCAGGCGTTCCTTGAGTTAATTTGCTGATATGATTTTGCATATGTGAAAGTGTTTAATCTGTTTAACCTTTTCTTTTCCCATCCATGTTTTTCAGGACACATGCTTCAAAATGTGAGAGGATTTTTAAAAATTCAATTCACTATGTGAATCACTTCAAGTCAGAGACAAAAAAAGTCTAAGACTAACCCCCACTTAAATTAAAGGAGAAATCTGGCTGATTTCAGTGGACTCTGGATTAGTCATTTTGCTACGGCAAACGTGAGGCTAAAGTATAGACAGCTATTGCTTTGTTAAATGACAGCTATTGCTTTCTTAAACGAGCAACTCTGGTACTAACGACAGCATTTAAAACACTTGCCAGAATGCTTTAGATTCCTGCGGAGCCCTAGTGCATTGTTTAAACCTAAAAACACACAGCAACTGTCTTTACAGGGATCCTTGCTTTGAATGAGGGACTGTTAGTTGCCCAGTCATTGTTACTGGCCTGCTATAGCAAGTAGCCTGGTGATCTTTGAACTTAATTGCCTTGCAGAACTGTGGTTCTGATGTCTGCTCAGGAAAACAGTATTGACATGGCCTTAGATTGGCAAAGACAACATCTTCAAAGAGCCACAGATGTGCAGAACACGTAAAGTGCATGATGCCTCACACACCCTTAGAAATACAAACAAGGAGGAAAACATATTCACTTTTAAATATAACTGTTACAAATGCAGTTACAGTGCTGTAAGCCCCAATCTCTGTCCCCACTGCAAATCTGGAACAAATGCACTGACATCCAATACTCTTCTGAAACTACATCAGGGTAATGAATATAAAAAATTTGCATACAATTACTGACACATTTTTCTTGCAATATTAAGACAAAACTCAGGAGACGACCACACTTGCATGGAAGAGATAACAGCTGCATTCCACTGATGTTACCCCAAAGAAGTCAGGTTTCCTTTTCTAAAGAATTGAAAACAAGATTCTTCTTGGGTATTTTCTTACCCATCATATAAAGTTGAAAGGAGTGGGCAAAGAAAAAGCTTTGTAAAATGACCATTTTTTGTTAAATTTTCATGGGTAATGAGTCACATTGGTAGAGAACAACTGACTTCATCCCTTTATTTGTATGGTATTTTCACCCTCTGTTTAGACATAAAATGCCTTTTGCCTTAAGGAAATTTTACAGGCCACATGAGGATTCACATAACTTATAAGCATAACTGATTGACTTTGAAGTGCAGTGCTTTTAAGAACATCCTCAAAATGCTTCTGTCTCAGACTGTGGCACAGCACCCTAGAGAGCTGCTAAAATGCCAGTTTCCCACCAAGAAAGTGTGCTCAGGCCATGAAGACAAATTTTGACTTAAGCACTCTGATGGCAGAGATGAGAAGGTCATAGAAAGGTGGTTTTGTGTTCATGAAAATGGCAGTAAATGGGAAAGCAGAAAAATGTTGACTTCACTTGGTTAAAACCTTCTATGTAGCAACAATAAAAGAATCCTGAATTGCTTCAATACTATGAACAATCTGTACTCCAGTTTCAGTCCTACATATTGTCATCTGGATCACTAAAATTATCATCATGGAATGACAAGCTCTCCATCTGTGCCCCCTGCATCCTCTGTTTTCAGTAGTACTGTGTGAAGAATACCTTACCCAGACAGACGATCTAGTTACACCAGTGTAATGCTTTCTGATGCACATAGCAGCAACATAACTCTGGTTTAATATCTGGTGCTATGCACCCATTGCTTATGGAAGCCTATGTCAAGACAATACAGAATAGTGAGCCAAAAATAGTATAGTGTCATTCAGAATAAGAATCCATGGTATAAACTTATTTAAATATAATCCATTTGGTGTTTTTCACTGCTTTTCTTCCTCAGCTTAATAAATACCCTGTCTGTTTTTGCTCCACAGTGCTTCCCTAACAGACGATACACAAGCTCCTTTTTGTTAAGCAGGGAAAAACCTCCTCTTCCTGTGTTACAGAAAACTCAACAATCTCTCAGAGAGTGGAAAAATAGCAGCTTCTGGGAGTCGAGCATGGATACACGGCGGTCAGCAAATAACAACTGTAGTCTTTAAATGCATTCAAAATGCAATCCCTGCCATCAGTAAAAAAAAATAAATAAAAGAACACATCACCTGGATTACCTCACAGCTATTTGCATAAAGGGTCCAGAGGCAGTACAGTATAAGTACGCAGACAAAAGCCATCCAAAGGGAAATTAGCAACAGTTCTATTGGATAGTCTGCGTCTGTAGCAGGAAAAGGGCAACTTCGAAGCTCAGATGCGCAAGCAGCTTTAAAGGACTAAACAATCTCTTGGCAGATGCATCAAGCAAAAATCTGAAACTACAAAACAGGTAATTTACCAAATAATTTCCTTTTTAGCTGATTCTAACTTTCCTTCTAAAGATTGTTCTGAATCAAACAGCCTGTGTGATATTCTTAGGGCTATCATCCAAGGACTTCATCAGAAGTGATACAAACCTGCCAGTAAGGGAGGTAATAAACTCTTTCTTTGTTTTAAAAATTTGTAGAACTTTGTAAAATTGTGCAATTTTTTTTTATGTTCTGAAAATATTATTAAGCTAAATGACTGTTATACTAGTATTAAAGATGTATTCCATTCTACTGAAGGAACTCTGCTTACCAGAAAATAAATCCCTGATAAGTGTGTTAGGAATTCCAGTGCCAGCTAGAAGAATAGAGAAATGCTTGCTACCTCGGCAAGAGGTAATAAAGGATATTATGTCTCTGAAAAAAAGTTAAAGCATAAAATCAGAGCATAGCTATCTTATATTCACAAAATACATACAGCTAATATAAATGTATAGAAAATAATGTAAAATTATGTTACATGTACAGTTATGTTAAATGTACAGAAATAGTAAAAAACTAATGGACTATTAAAGTTGGGCTTCATCTAAAAGTGGAATAAAGTGTTGCAAATCCCAGTATTATTTTAAAATGAGCCCTTAGCAAAGGGAATTGCCTGGCAGAGACTGTTTGTACAGGTATATGTCTCTGTACCTCACGTGGGGCAAGAGTTAAAAGAGAGTTCAACAGGGAAATTATTTTTGCCTCTTGGCAGAAGGCAAAGCACAATCACTGGCTTTCAGAACTACCTGTTCTAATGTCAGGAAGTTAGGTGTTTAATATTTATTCTTCCAGAAAAATGAACAAATTTAATTATTAAATTAATAATTTCATTATTAATTGGAGAGTTTAGTAACAAAAATGAGGAAGGACCTTCAAAAGAGACTTCAGTCCCTACAGCAGTGTCATACTGGTTTTTGGTGTCTGCAAATATTGCTGTTATTGCTCCATTTGTTTGCTCCATCCTCCTCCCCCACTGCTCTCCCTCCCATGGAAGCTGCAGGAACTCCCACCCCACAATGCCATCTATCCAGCTGCCACTGCTGCTCCTCTGCCTGACCTGGCCTGGTGTTTGCCTCAGTGGGGGGCAGTCCCTTCCAGAGGGAAGTGAGAACACGGGAAGAAGTCTCCTCGATGACATCCTGCCAAGGTCTGAAAGCCTCATTCTTCAGTCTCTCCTCAAGAAAGCTGAAAAGGAAGAAGAGATGAATAAAGGTACATGTAACACTGGGGACATCCACCTGGTGATGCTGGCATAGTACTTGGCTGAGATCCTTAGATCCAATATCTAGTTCCCAGGCTCTAATGTATATATTCATTGCTCTAAGGGGAGGGGAAGGATAGGAGGTCTGCTGGAGTACACTGACTCAGAGCCCTGAAATGGCACTTTCTTCTCTAGCATCTCCCTGCTTAGGCAATGCTGTACCATCACTAAGCAGCTTCTGTACAGTAAGAAGGTAGAAGCCTGCCACAGAAGACTTGCCTGTCTGGCAAGTACTTCCCTAGGGAACCTCCACGAGGACATGTGGAGGACATTCCCCAGTGGTGGACCCTACACCTAATGTTAATTGGATGTGGGAGTGCTGCCATTCACCTACTACCTCAGCCTGCTGGTCTCTAACCCCAGCAGAGGTGGGCTTGGCTGTGCCTGGGCATGCAGATGCTGCTCCAGTGTCCTCCACCTCCAAGCCTGCAGATGCTCTGCTCTCACTAGTCACAGCAGTGGACGCAAAGCAGACTCAGGGACTGCAAGAAGCAGCATATAGGTGCCTGCCACCAACAAGGAGCACAGAGCCCTTTCAGAGTGGGAAGAGGAACTGGCCCCATGTGCCCATAGAAAATGCCTTCCTCCCTCTTCATGTGAGAGCTGAGGGTCGGTCATGTTTATCCAAGACCTCAAATATTAAAGAGAGCTTAAGATTAAGTAAGAGATACTAGTAGAGATATGATTGGTAGCTGGAAATACTGAGCTGGCTTTTAAATGTCCACATCCTTCTTCTACTTGCATCTCAGCCCTATCCTTTCCCTGTCTCATGATGATTTCCAGCTCTTACCCATATCCAGCCTCTGCAGCCAATTTCTTCAGCTGCTCAGCATCTTTTACTCACTGCCTGTTACCTGAACAGGACACACTGACATGAAACAATGCTTTGTTGTTGCATGTGTCCCATTTGTCTGCAGCTAGTTCCTAATTTATCAACCCATCCTTGCTAGAAGTGTGCCAGAACTATTTTGACAGATGCCATCCAGAAAGATCAAATTCCAGGCCATAGAGTTAACTGTGCAGTTAAATGGGCATAATGAGCAGCAGCTTATGATCCTCTACCACAGAACTTCACAAATTCCCATTTCCTTAGTGACTAGGATCCTTTACGATTAGGGGGGCTCATTAACATTACTCTTTTCCTTGGACAGAATCAAGTGCCCCTCTGCCAGAATGGCTTTCTGAAAGACAACATCCTGGGAAAAAGTACCTAAGTGTCCTGGAGAAGAGACAGCATCCTGGAAAAAGAGATGTTATGGAAGGCACATCCTATGGAGACATTCAGAAGAGGCAGCATCCAGGGAAAAGAGAGACAGAAAACAGCCTAGACTACTATCTGGAGCTGAAAAAGCGACAGCATCCTGGCAGAAGGTCATTGCCAAATCAGTATCCTGACATCCCTAGTCCACAGCTAACCTACTTGAATGAGTCACCCAAAAGACAGCATCCAAGCAGAAGGTATCTGATATACAAGTACCAACATCCTAGCAAAAGAGGCTGGAGTGATGAGGTAGACCTGAGTGACCAATTTGGTGAGAAACGCCAGCACCCTGGCAAAAGGCACTGGAGTTCTGACAGCCCAGCTGACGCAGGCCCCTGCAGCCTGCAGGAGCCCTTCCCCTGTAACAAAGGCAGCTTGCTGCTTGATTTAGTAGAGAACGCTAGCAAAGACAGGGTAGAAGACAAGCGTCAGCACCCAGGAAAGAGATCAGCATGGGAGGGTGAAGCAGAGGAATGAGAAAAAAATTGTGTATCAGTTGGATTTGGTGAAGTAAACTGCCAGATCACAAAAGAAATCTGTTCGCTCCCTTTTGGCTTCCTGCTGCTGACCTCTGAACCTATCTTTCAGTGCTTTAATGTTCCAATTGAAGTTAATGGCTTTGTCACACACTTAAAATAAAGGAACTAAAGGACCCAGCTGAATGGGACAGGCAAGTACTGAGCGTTTTCACCTTCCCCACTTTAGGAAATTAGAGTGCTCATTTCCTTATAGGCCCAGACCCCAGAATGTTCTCACTATGTAAGTCCAATTTTCTGTTTCCAAATGACTAAAGCAGGCTCTTGAATACCTGTTCTGATTCTACTAAAGTGGAATAATTATACGGTTTCCTCTCATGTCAGCAAAATGAGTAAATTGAGACAGAGGGAAAAGAACAATGTACGCCAATTTTATTTTTTTTTTTAACTGAATAGGTTTTCAATTCTAAATGATACATTAAATAAGACTTGAATCCTTGCATGCTACAGTCTGTCCAGACAGTACACACTAAACAGAGATAGGAACTGTTCCGACTGGAACAGATCAGAAGACTGCCCTCATAGTTTGACTGGAACTAACACATAAAAGTCCTTTTCATCTAGGAGACTGCACAGTGCAAAGGGTTAATTCATCCCAGAGCATCTCAGCTGCAAGTTGTGAGCCTGACTGTGTACACCCCTTACTAGAACTCCCACTCTGGTGTGCCCACATTTCAGTCATGCCACTTGAAATCATGCCTTTGCCTCAGACATTTGAAAATGAAACAAGCAGACATCCTTCTCTTCCAATAAGGATTCCTGATTTCTTTCTTCTCAAAGGAATGCTTTTACTTTCCATGGTCAGACTTCTAAAAGTGTTTATCTGATATGAACAATTCAATAAACATCAATAGTCAACTCTGGTCTCCTTATGGTTGTGCAAACATACCATAATACAGTGAAAAACTTAAAACCAGCTCAAGCTAAGGAAAAATGAATTAATTAACATCAAAGAGTAGTTTTCTAGGCACACTCTTCTTGCATGCTGGTGGTCAGCACATGTTCATATGTAAAACAGTCTTGATATTGAAGTGATGATTTGATTATAAATGGAAAATTCTCTTTTTAGACTTTCTACCTGTATGACACACAACGTTTTGCCTCTGGGCTAACCCCACAGCAATGTTGTCACCTAGTTCACAGGAAACTGCACTAGAAATCAGATTTCCTGTTCACAGGTCTAACTAATAGATCCTGATTTTTGCAATTAATGCACAGTTACTGAGTGCATTGAGTTATTCACATCACTCATACATTCAAAGAGGTCACATCATGCCAATATTTCACTAATTTTTTGCTAATAAACAAACAAGTGTTTTCCACTGACATTCATCCTCAAAACCATCAAGACACATTAAGTGCCTTGAGTGTTCCTTTCAAATATGACTGTTTCTCGACGCAATGCCTCAGAGCACTTCCTCAGCTCCAGAAGTTAGCTGTGCCCTATGGTTGCCATGAGAAAGAATAATTAATCATCTCAGTGAGTTTCACTGAAGTTAGATGCTCCCAGGCTGATCAACACTTAACATGGTCTGTACCAAACAATTTCTAACTTTGGACATAATGTGCTGTTTAATGTATGTGACAACTGGCAGACCACTTCTATTGACAGGGCTTTTCTAATTAACAAGTGCTGAAGAAGTCCTCAGAGGAGGATTCCTCTGGGAATATTCCATACACTTCAAATTCCTTCAACACACTTTCTGTACATGATGCCTTTAAAAATGTTCACTTTCCGTTTTATAAGGGGAAAAAAAAGAAAAAAGATTTCTCGCCAGTCTGCCATTCCACACACCCCTTCCAGCAGCCAGCACACGCCCCGTAAACCTCGGGGAACAGTCGTGCACCAGGGCACCACCACTTGCTATGAAGTGTCCAGACGGAGTGAAACACAGGACAGCAGCGGGCAGAGCGCCCGGGCCAAGGCGGGAGCCCTGCCGGAGCCCTGCGAG